ATATACCATCTTCTTGGATTGGAAGAATCAATATTGTGAAAATGACTACTACCAAAGCAATCTACAGATTCAATGCAATCCCTATCAAGTTACCAATGGCATTTTTTTACGGAACTAGAGGAAAAAATCTTTAAAATTGTATGGAGACACAAAAGACCCCGAATAGCCAAAGCAGTCTTGAGGGAAAACAATGGAGCTGCAGGAATCAGACTCCCTGACTTCAGACTATACTACAAAGCTACAGTAATCAAGACAATATGGTACTGGCACAAAAACAGAAACACCGATCAATGGAACAAGATAGAAAGCCCAGAGATAAACCCATGCACCTGTGGTCAACTAACCTATGACAAAGGAGGCAAGGATATACAATGGAGAAACGACAGTCTCTTCAATAAGTGGTGCTGGGAAAACTGGACAGCTACATGTAAAAGAATGAAATTAGAACACTCCCTAACACCATACACAAAAATAAACTCAAAATGGATTAAAGACCTAAATGTAAGACCGGACACTATAAAACTCTTAGAGGAAAACACAGGAAGAACACCCTTTGACATAAATCACAGCAAAATCTTTTTTAAATTTTTTTTATTTTTTGGTGGTATGTGGGCCTCTAACTGTTGTGGCCTCTCCCGTTGTGGAGCACAGGCTCCGGACGCGCAGGCTCAGCAGCCATGGCTCACGGGCCCAGCCGCTCCGCGGCATGTGGGATCTTCCCAGACCGGGGCACGAATCCGTGTCCCCTGCATCGGCAGGCAGACTCCCAACCACTGTGCCACCAGGGAAGCCTGCATGATCCACCTCCTAGTGTAATGGAAATTAAGACAAAAATAAACAAATGGGACCTAATAAAACTTAAAAGCTTTTGCACAGCAAAGGAAACTATAAACAAGACGAAAAGACAACCCTCAGAATGGGAGAAAATATTTGCAAACGAATCAATGGACAAAGTATTAATCTCCAAAATATATAAACAGCTCATGCAGCTCAATATTTAAAAAATAAACAACCCAATTTCAAAAATGGGCAGAAGACCTAAATAGACATTTCTCCAAAGAAGACATACAAATGGCCAAGAAGCACATGAAAAGCTGCTCAACATCACTAATTATTAGAGAAATGTAAATCAAAAGTACAAGGAGTTATCACCTCACACCAATTAAAATGGGCATCATCAGAAAATCTACAAACAACAAGTGCTGGAGAGAGTGTGGAGAAAAGGGAACCCTCTTGCACTGTTGGTGGGAATGTAAATTGATACAGCCACTATGGAGAACAGTATGGAGGTTCCTTAAAAAAAAAAAAAAAGAATTACCATATGATCCAGCAATCCCACTACTGGGCATATACCCAGAGAAAACCATAATTCAGAAAGACACATGCACCCCAGTGTCCATTGCAGCACTATTTACAATAACCAGGTTATGGTAGCAACCTAAATGCCCATCGAAGGATGAATGGATAAAGAAGATGTGGTACATATATACAATGGAATATTACTCAGCCATAAAAAGGAACAAAATTGGGTCATTTGTTGAGACGGGGATGGATCTCGAGTCTGTCATACAGAGTGAAGTAAGTTAGAAAGAGAAAAACAAATATCGTATATTAACGCATATATGTGGAACCTAGAAAAATGGTACAGATGAACCAGTTTGCAGGGCAGAAATTGAGACACAGAGGTAGAGAACAAACGTATGGACACCAAGGGGGGAAAGCGGCAGGGTGGTGGTGGTGGTGGTGTGATGAATTGGGCGATTGGGATTGACATGTATACACTGATGTGTATAAAATTGATGACTAATAAGAACGTGCTGTATAAAGATATAAAATTCGAAAAATAAAACTAAACTCATGTATTTCCTGGTTCAATCTGAAATAAAAATGTGTGGTTCAAGCATTTGAAATAGAAAAAAAAAAGCAGTCGATACAATCACTGTTCTTAATGCACTTACGCAAATAATCAGATCAAGTTTATTGAAACTAGACTTAATTTGCAAACAAATTTCTCTTACTGGTTATCCTTTATAACAGTCGGGATGATTATAGAAAGAAAAATTATGTTTTAGTAATACAGGTTTGTAGATATCAGATTTTAGTACTGTTAACCCTCTTTGAGGTTTTGTTTTCTACCTGTAAACTGGACTGGATCCTGAATTCTTCTAGTTTCTTCCAGTATTTGACTAGAACTCTCCAAACTAATATTTCCAATTTTCTCCCACTCTTCTGACTCCAAATCACTATGAAACTCAACTGCCCTTTTCCCAAAGCCATACAAGTTAAAGCTGGACAACTTGACGTAAACCTCAGAGAAATCACAACAGCTCAGGAGTGGGCAATCTGCATGCTTGTTTTTACATGGCCACTCAGAAGCTCGCCAGACACATTCAAACTGCAAGCCAGGAAAATCCATTAGACTGTCACTGCCATCCTCATTCCACCACCTGGAGATGTTTCAAACTCAAATCTACAAATTTTCTCAAATGGCTGCTCTCCAAACTCAGAAACTGAATTTATAATTTGCTCAAACTATTAGCCTTTGTTTTTCTTTTGTTTCCCTAGAAATGCCTCTTGTTAAATTACCTGATTGCTCACAGCACACAGACACCTCATTTAGGTGGAAGCTCACCTGCAGCGCGGTCTCCTAAAATACAACATCCTCCCTTCATTCTGTCTTGAGGAATCATGAGGATATGTGATTGCTAACACACCAGGTTGTGCCTATGTAAATAACCTTTAAAAACTGAAACCTAGGGCTTCCCTGGTGGCGCAGAGGTTGAGAGTCCGCCTGACAATGCAGGGGACACGGGTTCGTGCCCCGGTCTGGGAAGATCCCACATGCCGTGGAGCCGCTGGGCCCGTGAGCCATGGCCGCTGAGCCTGTGCGTCCGGAGCCTGTGCTCCGCAACGGGGGAGGCCACAACAGTGAGAGGCCCGCGCACCGAAAAAAAAAACAACTGAAACCTAATGGCACATTAATCAAAAGAAATTGTCGGTTCACTTAGAAAGGTAAAACTTAAAAACTGCTGGTTATAACCCATTTGAGTTATTTAACTGGTTAAATCTTGGGTCCTGAGAATCTCTGCTCTGGACCATTTTTCAATCCTTGGTTATTATTTTCCTTATAGTTATCATATTAACCTTTCCAGTGTGTTGTACACTCTCCAGGGTTTTAAATGCCTGTCTCCAGCCACTCGCGTGCCAAATGGCATCCATCAGGATCACACAACTGGACAAAATCAACAATAACCATATAAAGAATTAAGACAGTGACTACACGGCTCTCCTGCCTAAGGACTCAACTAATGCAAACAGTGTATATGCAATTCTTCAGCCTGATTACATCAACAGTGGTAACCAGGAATAATGCTATACTGGTTGCTCATACTCTCCGCGCACGGAGAGAATGACCAAAAGCAGGAGGGGGCAGGGGGGGATTGTTAAAATCAAGACCAAATGGAAACCAGCCTTGAAAAATTCCCTGGGCAGACAAAACCAGTTAAGTTACACAAGCAAAGCTTAATTTAGCTTATTTTGCAAGACTAACTTGACCTGGGTCATTTCTTGCTTCTGCCTCTGTAAATAAGCAAAATTTAAACTGTTTCCCAAGGTTGATATGAAGTAACCAATTCCCTATCATTTAAGATGATGATAATATTATAACCAATTACTGTGAAGAATAAACAGTCACTATCTTCTCACCATATAAGCTGCTTTTTAACAATTCACCCCTGAGCCTCATTCCTTGTTTTGGTTTGAGTGCTCTGGTTTTCAAACTATCTTTTTGGTGTGTGCAAAATAAACTTTACTGATTACTACTTTGGTGATTCATTGGCTTTACTTCTGCTATTTCTGAAGTTTTGACACACACACATATACATATATGTCTGCATCTTTGTCACACACACATATACATATATGTCTGCATCTAACAGCAAAAGACTATTTTCACCACCACAGTACCAGAGACCAGCAAGAGATGGTAATTAGTCACTTTTTCAAAAAGTAGGTTTTTAAAAATTAGTTTGATAGCAACTTTTTCCCAGTGCATTAAAAAAGTGCATTCCTTTGTACTTTGTTTTTTTGATTTTCTATTTATTTTTAATTGTTGCAGAGTTTTTGCTGGTTTATCATTTTAAAACAACTAAAGAGAACCTGATCGCCTTATACAGGATCATATTAGTTGGGTGGCTTTTGGCAAAATTGGAATATTTGGTTTTTATATTTCCTTACCCAGAGGCAAATGGACAATTTGGGCATTTTGGACACTCCATATGAGACTAGTAAATTACAATTCTGCACCCTGGGGAGAAGCACATCGAGTCACTTTCACCTTAACATAACTTTTACATTTACAGACCACACAAAAATTATGAAATGATCCAAACTTTGTAAGGGAATCAGACATAGAAAACATGTCAGGAAAATCTATCTCCTCAAGAATATCCTTCCTTTTACCCTATCAGTTGTTTTTACCAGCTTACAAACTCTTTGAGGGCAGGGATAACACTAGAAACATCTGTTGCTTACCAGGCATAAGGATGATTTATACATTATTTATTTAATCTTCCCCACGTTGCCATGAGATCGGTATTATTATAATCCCCATTTTCCAGAAGAGGAGACCGAAGTTCAGGCTCTTGCCCACTATCACAAAGTAGTAAGGAGTGGAGCCAGGAGCCAGGCTGCCGGACCCCGGAGCCTCTCTCCCACTGGCGAGTGCCCTCCACCGGCGAGAGTCCCGCCACACTCCGCTAGTGGCAGGCACAAAGAGGCCGTTCAATAAGTCTTGCTTAATTTGAAGGCCACAGCGTTAACTAGCAGCAGAAGGGCTCGAGCAGCCGAGAGGCAGGAGAGTGTATGTGGAGGGGCTGGGAGTGGTAGCCGGGAAGGAAGCTGGACCCCCGGGACGCGGGCGGGGAGGGATGGCTACACCGGGAATTTCTGGGGACCGCTCGGTGTGGGACAGAAAGCCGAGTGGTAGGCAAGACACTTACCCGGCCGGAAAAAGAGGAGGGCGCTGGCGAGATAGGTCAGCAACTCCATAATCCGATGTTTTTCCAAATAATTCCTGGCTTCAAGCTCCCTGCTGCTGTTGGCCTCCATCGCTCCGAATTGGGACGTTGCTAGGCGACCAGGCAGCGTCACTGCCGTTCGGCTCCGCCCCTTCCGCCCGACGCGGGTACGTGATGCGCGCCCTACAGGCTGAGACCTGGGCACCAAATCCTGCCACCTCATCGCGAGGGAGGCAGTCTGGGAGGTGTGGGGTGGGGCTTACGCGGAGGCCGGAGGGAAACCCGTGCAGAGCTCCTTGCGGGCGGAGGGCCGCGTCCGCTTTCTGGGCTGAGTGCTGGGCCTGATGGTATTTTCCTGTTTCTGTCTCTAGCACCCAGCTCAGTACTTGCTGCCCCAAGGTCTCATGTGGTAATCATAACACATGAGGATAGACTAATAACAGAAGGAACTTGTGTAATAACGGGGGTGTCCAGTGGAGAGTCCTAAGCAGCATCTTTGGTGTGAGCAGCCTGCAGCACGGCGCTGGCGGCGGGGCAGGAAGGGAGACCGTTTTCTCTACCAGACTGCGGGGTCGTGAAGTGCGTGGATCCTGAGCTCCTACATGTGTTTGCTGCTTAACTAGACCGTATGGAGCTGGTCTTAATGAGACAAAGACCACCTGACAGTAGTTTTGAGGGAGAGCCACTGAATAAGGTGGGACGCAGGTGGCCAGGAGGGCCTCTACTCAGCCATCGAAATACCTGAGAAACTAAACTCTAGGCTGGGACTTCTGTCCTTGAGGGCCAGGCTCTGAGGTCTGTGCCCTTACTCCCCACCAGAGAGTTATCCCAGAATAGCCACTTCAAGAAGAGGAAAGACAAATGGCCAATAAACATATGAAAATATTCTCAGTCTCTCCAGCAATCCTGTAAACAAAACTACAAGAAAACGCCATTTTACATCTACCAGACTGGTAAAAATTAGGAAGTTGAACAAATTAGACTGCCGGCAAGGATATAGGGCATCAAAACAGCCAGTGATGATGGAGCTTTCCAAAGGAGAACATCTACCTTGGAAAACAATTTTGAATTATCTTGGTAGCATAGACATGTTTCTACACCATGACTCAGAAATTCCACGCCTAGAGCAACTCTTGTACACCTGTACCAGGAGATATGCACAAGAATGTTCAGAGCAGCAGTGTGCATGACAGAAAACACAGCAGCCCAAAGGTCATCAAAACTAGAATGAATTTTTTAAAAAACTGTGATATATTCACAATGCAATATAAATATATAAATATAAAGCTATGCAACCATAGATTGTAGCTACTTGCAACAATATGGGTGACTCTCAAAAACATAATACTGTCTCAAGAATATATACTGTATGAATCAACTTATATAAAGTTAAAAAACATACAGAATGAAGTAATATATTCTTTACAGATTCAAGCCTGTGTAAGAGATCTACTAAGAAATGCAAGGGAATGATACAAAATTCAGCACAGTATTTGCCTTGGAGGTGAGAGGAAAGGGAATGGGTTTGTGGAAGAATATCCTGGGGACTCCAGGGGTAAAGGTAATAAGATTTTCTTTACCTGAGTCGTGGGTACACAGGTGCTCATTGGATTATGATTTTTTTTAATTAATTAATTTATTTTTGGCTGTGTTGGGTCTTTGTTGCTGCTCGTGGGCTTTCTCTAGTTGTGGCAAGCTGGGGCATCTCTTCGTTGTGCTGCACGGGCTTCTCATTGTGGTGGCTTCTCTTGTTGCGGAGCACAGGCTCTAGGCGTGCAGGCTTCAGTAGTTGTGGCCCACGAGCTTAGCTGCTCCGCGCCATGTGGGATCTTCCCGGACCAGGGCTCAAACCTATGTCCTCTGCATTAGCAGGCGATTCTTAACCACTATGACACCAGGGAAGCCCTGGGTTATGATTCTTTATACCTTATGTGTACTTAATACATTAAAAAAATCTACTCAGGACTGCATGTTGGTGCCCTAGACACAGAGTTTCTTCTCTGTGCATGAAGCTCAAGACATTTGATCTCCTTCAGAACTTCATTTACTTACTCTCCAGGAGTTACTCATTCCCTGAATAAAATAGCTCTGCTCTTTGAACCTCAAATGACACTAGAACTTCCAGTGACACCTGGCCTGCTGACATCTTCCCAAGTTGCTGATTGTTTTCTGTTTCAACAAGCCTGGGTGCATTTGTCTGCTCAGGGCTCCCTCTCTTAACATACCTCAGGCAGCTCTGGCCCTGAATCTCCAGTTCCCCTGGACTCGTGCTAAAGAGAAGTGTCCAGATGCCACCTAGTGGAGTCAGCTATTCTCTGTCAATGCCATCTCTTAATAAGCCAACTTGGCCTTCATTCCTCATCATCATCGACGTCATCATCCTCACTTCTTCGACTCTGTCCTCCATCTCCTTATTACTACTAATCCTTTTAGTGGTTTGGGGCAGTGACTGCAGGTGGCAGGCATCATTGCAGTGGTTTTCAATCAGGATTGCACATTTGAACCACCTTTGAAAGTACTGACAGTACCTTAAAACGTACTGAGGCCTGGGCTCCATTCCAGGTCCAGGAGACTGAATCTTTTGGGATGGGGCCTGAGTATGGGTAGTTTTGTTGTTGTGAATTTTAACAGCTTTATTGAGGTATAATTAACATAATAAACTGCACATATTTAAGACATACTCTTGGATAAGTTTTTTTGTTTGTTCTTTTGTTTTTTGGCTGTGTTGGGTCTTCGTTGCTGAGCGTGGTCTTTCTCTAGTTGCGGCGAGCCGGGGCTACTCTTCCTTGCAGTGGGCGGGCTTCTCATTGCAGTGGCCTCTCGTTGCGGAGCACGGGCTCTAGGCGCGTGGGCTTCAGTAGTTGTGGCTCGCGGGCTCTAGAGCGCAGGCTCAGTAGTTGTGGCACATGGGCTTAGTTGCTCCCTGGCATGTGGGATCTTCCCGGACCAGGGCTCGAACCCACGTCCCCTGCATTGGCAGACGGATTCTTAACCACTGCGCCACCAGGGAAGCCCTTGGATAAGCTTTGAAGTATGTACATATACGTGAAATCATTGTCATCAAGATAAAGAATGTATCTATCATCCCCCAAGGTTTCCTTGTGTCCCTTTCTAGTTCCTTCCTCTCATCCCTTCTTAAACCTGCCCCACCCCCATTGCCAGGCATCACAGACCTGCAATCTGTAATCTGTAACTGTAGATTACATTTTCTAGAATTTTATATAAATAGAACCATACAGTATATATATATATATATATAAAATTTTTTTTTGGTCTGGTGTTTTTCACTCAGCATAATTATTTTGGGGGACTCGCCTATGTTGTTGCATGTATCAATATTTCATTCCTTTTTATTGCTGAGTAAGATTCCACAGTATGCATATATCACAATTTGTTTATTTGTTTACCCGTGGATGGACATTTGGGTTGCTTTCAGTTTGGAGCTATTACAAATAAAGCTGCTATGACTATTCATGTACAGATCTTTGTGTGCACATAGGATTTCATTTCTCTTAAGTTAAATGTATCAAGGAGTGGGATGACTGGTTCACATGGGAGGTGTATGTTTAACTTTTTAAGAAACTGCCAAACTGTTTTCCCAAAGCAGCTGTACCATTTTATATTCCCAAATTACTAGTAATTAAGGCTCCCCAGGAGATCCTAGTGGACAGCCAGGACTGAGACCCTGTGTTATAGCAGCCCATGAGGGTTGAGCTAAAAGATCTGGGAAATGTTGATCAGGAATCCCAAGAGCCTCGGAGCTCCCAGCTCGTGCTTAGTATCATCCCACAGCTCATATCGACCCAGGACACACACTGGAAACTCCCAGGGAGCCATTAAAAAATACAGTGTCTGCCCCTTCACCCCCCAGAGAGTCTGATATAATTGCCTTGGGGGCCAGGGTGCAAGGGTGGGGGGCTGCCTCAGGCATCACAGCTTTTTACCAGCTTCCTGAGTGGTTCTAGAGCACAGAGTGACCAACTGTCCTGGTTTGCCCAGGACTATGAGGGGTCCATTACCATGAAGCTTTCAACCATAATACTGGGAACGTCCCAGGTCATCTTAATACACGGTCACTCCATTTGTGGACCACTAGCATGAAGGGCTCAGGCTTTGGTGTTGGATAGACTTGTCAATCTGCCTGTCAACTTGGGAGTTATAGCTCAGGGTTAGTGTGTGTGTTTGGGGGAGGGCATGGATAAAAGGGAAAGCGGGGGGACATTGAGTAGCCAGGACAGAATGTGGGCTAACTCCCTCTCTCCATTTTCTCTGTCAACCAGGGACAAGTTAGAGATGCCTCAACTAGGAGTTTTGGTTGCTGTTAAAGGGGAGAAATATATGAAGCCCACTTTTTCTGAGCAATTGTATGGTGAGGCAGTGTCCTGTAGAGGCCTCTGGAGCCAGACTGCCTCACTTTAACACTCTGTTTTACCACTGACTATTAATAACTTTGTGATATTGGGCCAAACACCTAAATTCTCTGCCTCAGTGTCCTCAAGGACAGAATGGGGACAGTGTATCTACCTCATAGAGGATGTCTTCAGGACTGAGTTAATATATGTAAAGCTCTTTTAAAAAATGGTTCACTGTTATTATCTTAATAGCCTTGTTAAAATGAGAAGGGGGAAATCGTGACTAAATATATCCTACAGCCTACGTCCATAGGCTGTCCTATACGGTTTCCTATTGAAAGATTTTTTGGTTAATCTTTCAGATTTAGTGTTGCAGCTTTAAAGAACTATAGGTTCTTGCTCTGCATGTCAATGTGGGAGGAGCTAAAGGTATATATACTATGCGCTTAACGTTCTTATGCAAATCATAAGGGAGACATAGTTTGGAACCTGATAATTTCATTTTCACCAAGTTGCTTTATTGGTGAGCTGCATTTTTGGAGTTAAAAAAAAAAAACCCACCAGAACACGGTCTAGTGGTGACATCGCATTAGTCTTTGTGTCAAGTGGAACTAACACGGACTCCTGTTTTAGCTTTCCAACTGTGATTTAACAGGTACACAGGGTTCTGTGGAACTCAAGTCTCAAAGTTAGTCTTTGTGAAATGGTAACACTCAATTATCTGTGATAGTGCCTCATC